AAGAGCGGTCCCAACCCGCCCAGCTTCGCCAACCTTTTATTTTTTTCTCCCCGCAATAGCCGTGTTTAAAAAGATCCTTGCCGGCACACAGGCTCTCCTTTGCTCTCCCACTGCTTCCTTGAAGTAGATTCAATAAACTTGTGTCTCCTTTGTTGGGCCTGGGGTGAATTCTTTCACTGCCCAGCCCGTGCGGCAGGACCCCACCCAATGCGGCTGCCCCACTTTGGTGGCCCTCGTGGGGACCCTCTGCAGCCCAGGACTCTCCCCTGATTCTCTGGGAATTTCCTGGCACTTGCGCTCAGTGAGGATCCGAAGCCCCAGGGGGATCCAGCCTGCCTGCCCTTGCCCCAAAGGGTGCAGGATTTCCCCTCGTACCCTTGGGAGGGATCCCTCCCTCCCTCTTTCTCTTTTTGACCCTTCGAAAGCCTGACCCTCATACCCCTCAGACAACACATTACGGACTCAGATGGGAACCTCCCCTGATGCCGGCTCTCAGCCACCTTCCTCCTCCTCCTCTCCACCTTCTCCCTTTGTTCCCGTGGGTCCAGCCACCATCTTGATCTATAGACACATTCCTAAGCGTCTGAGTGAATCCACCAATTCCATATATGAGTCGTGGTCCAACAAGAATTCCAGCCCATACCATCCCAGGGTCCCCTTTCCTAAATCCCCTGGCTCTGGCCACCAAGGAAGTTCCCCGAAATCATCTATCAGCATGTTAAACTAACACCATGCTCTGGTCTGTCACTGCACAGAACCCCTGCTAGACCGCCATGTCCAGGAAGGGACAGTGCCCCCCGCCACCATGAAGCAGCTACTGAAGATGAGAACTCTGCCCCAGTGCCAGAGATCCATCATTGTCCATCTGTGGCGGGGGGGTGGGGGGTGGGGAGCAGTGTAGAGGCCACCTTTAGGCAACAGACTTGAGCAGTGGAAACCTGAGTAAGCTCAAAGGGCCCATGGTGACCCTCTGGCTGAATGCAGAGGCCCAATAGACAGCCCACCTGGAAATATCCATAAGCCCCAGCTGCCCAACAGGTTACTTATAACCAGGCACAGGTACCAAAAAAGGAAAATTCCACATGTTCCCCTACCTCCTCACTCCCCCTCTTAACTATAGCCCCCAAGTCTCTCCTTTGCTGTCCTGCCCGCTGCTCCCTTGTTGTGTATCCAATAAATTTCTATCGAAAGAAAGAAAGAAGGATCCCTGCCTCCCCACCACAGTGCATCACTGATGATCTATGCTCCTGCATTTACTGTTTACACCCATCACTCTGGCCTCTGCTGGGGGAAGACAGCCAGCCCACCCTGCTGAGTCAAAAGAACTTCAGCCAGAGGCACAGATGCTAGCTAGATGCGCCGGTCAGCACTGGAGGCCTGACCCAGAACACACAGCTGCTATCAGCTCTGGAAAATTCCGATCACATGGGGGGGGGGGCACAGCAAAGGGCAAGCAGCAGCATGAAGATGGAAACAACGTGATTTTTAAAGTATTAATATCAGCGCAGTCCAATATGTAACAACATCATGGCCCACGAGACCTATCCCAAACGGAGCGCCTGGTCCTTTCTGTCCAACCAGGTCACGCCCACTCCAGGGGAAATCCTGCCAGCATGGTCTTCTAAACAAATCTACTGGGTATTCATTACCAAGGGGAAAAGGAAAGGTTCTTTCAGTGGTCACCACCTTAACTGAGGGATCCAAGTCTCCATCACAAATGACGGAACAAACAGACATTAGGAGCCCCCTGAGGTGATGTCCTCAGGACACACCGTCATGTGTGTGGGGTTCTTGCCAAAGATGCTGAGTGTGAATCAAATCAGAGGAAGTAGTCCGAAAACTCCAGGTTGTGAGACACTATGGGACAACTGGCTTGGATTCTTCCAAATGTCAACGCCCTTTAAAAAAACAAAAAACAAAAAACAAAAAACAAGAAAAAAACAAGAAAATGAGTAGAGAGGAGGATCAGTAAACTTCTTCTGTAAAAGGCCACAGAGTCAATATTCTAGATTTCTGGGCCATAAAACCCATCTCTGAAGCCACTGACAATATGCAAACCAATCGGTGTGCCAATAAAACTTTATTTACAAAGAGGCTGTGGGCAGGATTGCTGGGCTCTGTAGATTAAAGGATATTAAAGAGGCACGCTGTGCTCGCTTTGGCAGCACATATACTAAAAACAGACGCTAATCAAAGGCAGTGCATGATCCCTGAGCGGATCTTAGATTAAAAAGAATAATAAATAGGGGCACCTGGGTGGCTCAGTCAGTTAAGCCTCTGCCTTTGGCTCAGGTCATGATCCCAGGGTCCTGGGACTGAGCCCCCCATCGGGGCTTCCCCCCTCTCTCTGCCTGCCTCTCTGACTACTTGTGATCTCTCTCTCTGTCAAATAAATAAATAAAAATCTTAAAAAAAAATAACAACAGCAATAATAAATAGCTAAAAAGGACATTTTGGGAATAACTGGAGAAATCAGATTATGAGATATATATTAAATATTAGTTATATATTAAATAATATTGGTATCAATATCATTATTATCAATGTTAAACTGTTCAGGTGTGATATCAGTGCTGTGTAATATATGAAAATGTCTTTGCTCTCAGGAAACACTGGCTAAAACATTTAGGAGTAAAGTGTTACATCCATAACTTATTTCCCAATTGTTCACCAAAAAAAAGTGTATACATATATAAACACATCCATATACAAGAATTAAGACAGGGGCACCTGGGTGGCTCAGTGGGTTAAAGCCTCTGCCTTCAGCTCAGGTCATGATCCCAGGGTCCTGGGATTGAGCCCCACATCGGGCTCTCTGCTCGGCAGGGAGCCTGCTTCCCCCTCTCTCTGCCTACTTGTGATCTTTGTCTGTCAAATAAATAAATAAAACCTTAAAAAAAAAAAAAGAAAGAAGACAAAGCAAATCTGCTGGAAGGTAATAACTAGTGAACTAGGCGGTAAAGGGTATGTAACTGATGACTATCCCATTCTTCCTTTCATTTTTAATAATTATTGTTTTAAGTTTATTTATTTTTTTAGTAATCTCTACTCCCAGTGTGGGGCTCGAACTCATGATCCCGAGATCAAGCGTCACATGCCCTTCCGACTGAACCAGCCAGGTGCCCCTATACCATTTTTTCTTTCAACTGTTCTGAGGGTCTGAAATTTTAAAAAGAATGGGAGAAGAAAAGTCTCCAGAAACTGACCCTTCCTCCCCACTCACCTCCCACCTTGAGTACTGGGCTCACCAACTCCCTGAATCCAACCTCTCCCTATGATTGCCAAAGGGATCCTATTAACATATGCCTCAGACCCTGTCCCTCCTCCGCTGATACCTTCTGGTGGGACCCATCCACTCAGGAGCAATGTCCATGTAGCCATTCATCAAACCTACCAGGCAAACTCACCTCAGGGCCTTTGCATGTGAGAGAATGCTTTTTCTCAGGTACCTGCACTGCTTGTTCCTTTCTCTCCTCCTATTCTCACTGAGGTCTCCCTGACACCCCATGGAAACTTCCAGCCTTCCCCCAGACAGTCCTCTTTTTGCCTCCCTCATGTTTTCTCCAGAGCAAGTACTGCTAGCTAATATAATTCACATTTTAACTATTATTTTGTTTACTGGCTGGCTATTCCCTCACCCCATCCCCGCCCCAAGAATGTAAAATTCCCAAGGACAAGATTTTTTTTTGCCTTTGCTTCTTTTCTGTAACCACACCATCTACACAACAGCCATATCTTGGTGCCACCCACTGACTTAACATTTGAAATCCATTCACTCCTCATAACAACATAAGTATTATTTACAGCATAAATGCACAGAGCCTATACACAAAATAACAGCGCCTACCTCGTAATTTGTGAGGATTTAAGGATGGAAGGCCAGTGAAGTGCTTAGCGTAGGGTCTGGCACAAAGCCGAGTGCCCATTAAATGTTGCTATTATATAATACCCATTGTACAGGAGAGAAAACCGGAGCTCCGAAGAGGTAAGTGACTCCGCCGGGGGGTGGGGTGGGTTGTGCAGATGAGAACCCATGCCAGTCTGACCCAAGAAGCCACTTTCTACACCGGGGCGCTAAGACACATCACACGGTTTATGGGAAAGCCAGGGGCAGGAAACAGAACCTCGCTCTGGGATTCAAGCCCTGACCCTGGCATAGACTCCACGTGTGACCTGAGCAATTCACTTCTGGTCTCGAGGCCTGTTTGCTATAAACTGGGGAAGTCATTTCCCCTCCCTGACGTGGGGACAAAAACAAGTGAGGGTCAAAGGAGAGAGCTTATAGGAGAGCACTCTGGTAACTTTCTCCATTCTCAGATCCGCAACTCTGGCAGAGGCCCCACAAAACACCAACGGACCCAAAATTCTGCAAACTTGTGAGTGCACCCACACTCACAAGGAATAAAGGTACGCTCCCCTTAACCATCTGGCCTTGCTGCTCCCGGCTCCCCCTCGACATCATCCCTGCGGTCTGGTGAGGTTTTCCTCACCCTTCAGATCCCCGCCCAGAGGTCTCCTCTGCCAGAAAGCCCTCCCTGAACGCCATGCCAGGTCAGGCACCTCACCGCCCAGGACAAGAGGGCAACTGAAGCACGGGGTGGGGTTTTGGAACTCAAATTATCTAAGAGTGGCCCGGCAAACCACCCGGTCAAGTCTCTCCTCAGTCCCGCCCCCAACTCCTCTCGTCCTGGGATGTCCCACCCATATTACTCCCTTCTCCCCTACTATTGGCTCGTCTGGACGTCAGTCTCCACGCGCTCTCTTCCTCTATTGGTTTGTATTCCCAACCCAGGGGCCAGCGTCCCGCCCCGCTCCCTGCCCCACGCCTGAGCGGACTATTGGACAACCCGCATGCCCTTCTTCCAGGATCCCTCCCTATTGGCTGTAGGACTTTGCCGGTTCGGGATGTGATTGGTTGTAAACAGAAGTCCATCCCCTGAGCAACCGCCAGAGAGGGGTTGGAGAATGAAAAGGTTGGAGGGACGTGGGGTCAAACTCACGCTGAGCCGGCGGGAGGCAAATATAGGTCTTGAAGAACTCGCTCCGGCGGGCGGCCTCCTTAATGCGGTTGGCAAGCGGCTTGCTGACCTGCCGGATGCCCAGGTATAGCAGCTTCGCCATAGGAAACGCGCCCACCACCATCTTGGCGGTCGCACGGGGCACGCGCACCCTTGCTGACTGGGCGGGGCGCCTCCGATCTCTCCCTCCCCCGCCCTCTCGTGCGTGCGTACGTGCGTTCGCTCGGGGGTGGAGCACCGCAGGAGCGCTCCCTGATGTCACCGCGTCGACGCTGACGCCTGACGTCCGATCGCTGAATATGCAAATAAAGGTGGAAGTGAGGCGGGCCAGGGGGCGGTGCCGTTAAAGGGCTGTTCGCGGGAGCGTGGTTGGATTCCCACGCCCGCCTTGGCTGCTGTCGCCGTGTTCCTTCGTGACGTCTTGTACTTAGGTGGCTTCCCCGCTTAAAAGAGGCTCTTAATTAGTCCTAATTAGGGATAATGAGTCCCAGATACGCTTTCCTCTCAGGTTAGAGCTCTCCCTGGGAATAAGAAGAAACCGGCCCTGTAGTGAAACAGACCTGGGCTGGGATCCCAGCTCCGCCATTTACTTGCTTGTGATGTTAGGCGAGTGACGTAACCTTTCTGGGCATCAGTATTCCCACCTACAAAATGGGAACTATAAGAACACCTTGTTGGGTAGTTGTAAGGCTTGCATGCAAATCTTGAATGTAAAAACAGTGAGGGAACCGTGGTAGGTGCTTAGAATGGTGCCAGGCACAGTAAGCCCCCGAGAAGCAGCCCTTATTGCTCTGCGGGTCTGAACACAGTCCTGAGGGTGCATTTCATCCAGAATTAGCGAATCCAGCCCTTTCCTGAGGAACTGACCAGCGGAGGCCCAGAGGGGGCCGCGGGAGAAGGTCTCTCAGCCCCCAGAAGGTGATGGCCCCGTGTCTTGGCTGCTAAAGCCACACCCGTTCTCAAGCAGCCCCACTTCCTCCACTGGTGGGCGAGGGTCCCCAGGGAGCTGGCTCAAGAAGGAGTTTAAGGACATGTTTCAGGCTGTCGTCCTTTAGCCATCAGGGAGCAAGATCATATAAACAAGGTCAGGAAAGGGTTGAGAGAAATTTCTGGATGGCGAGTCTTGGTGGGTAATTGAGAACATCTAAGAGGGAAAGGAGAAGAGAGAGGAGCAGAGGAGCGGTGTGTAGGCGGAAACCCCATCGGGGCCCCTCGGCCTGTAGGGCTTTCCTCAGCATCCACTCCAGCTCCTTTGTGTCCTTTTGTCAAATCCCTGACACAAATAGACCTCCATTTCTCCATCAGTAATAATGATGGCACTGACATGCATGAACCCAGATATTCTAAATTCCTTAAAATACCAAGACTCCATAAAAACAACCTTCCGGGGCGCCTGGATGGCTCCGTCAGTTAAGAGTCCGACTCTTGATTTGAGCTCCAGTCATGATCTCAGGGTCGTGAGATGGAGCCTGGCAGGTCAGGTTCCACACTCAGCTGGGAGTCTGTTTGGGATTCTTCTTCAGCCCCTCCCTCTGCACCGCCCCTACTCCCTCTCTAACAAATAAACAAAACCTTTTTAAAAAAAAAAAAAACAAACAAACAAAAAACAAAAATAAACAAAAAAAACTAACCACAACACTTTGCAAGATCCCTTCTGGACTGAAGGTGTGATAGAGCTTGGTCTATTCAAGGTCCATTATCTCCTTGGGATACCCCCCTTCCCATTTTACAGACGGGCCAACTGAGGCCAGGGGAAGAAAAGGATTTACCCAAAGTTCCAGGCATAATCAGGATGGAGCCAAGGCTGGGATTTCTTGAGTCCCAATCAAGTCATCTCCTGATTCCTGAGGGTGGTAGTCAGGGGGCCTAGGGGCCTACTCGGAGGGTGAGGTTCCCAGGATGGATTTAGGAAACCTCCAAACTGTATGTGACTTTTTTTCTGTTTATTTCATTGCTGTTTCCTCAACTCCTAGAAAAGTGCCTGGCACACAGTAGATGCTCAATAAATATTTATTGAATGAATGGGAATGAGCATTTCATGGAGGAGTGGAGTGCAGGCTTTCATCTGATTCTCCAAGGGCACTGTGTTCCAAAAGGTTCTGGCCCCTTACATCTCCATCCCAGTAGCTTTATGGCTTTAGGGTGGGAAAATTACTGGGCCCCATAGATCCCAGGCTTCCCTCTTTTCTCTCCGCACCCAGTACCAAAGCCCCAACTTCCTGCATCTCAGAGATCCCCCCTCCCTTCCTGTAAAACCATTTTCCTCATTAAGTTTTTTTTTTTCCTCTCATTCCCCTCCACCCTCCTCTTCCTCTCTCTGAGAAGGGTTTCCAGGAACCTCTTCTGGGAACTTCTGGGACAAGGGCGGGTGTGTATGTGTAGGAGGATCTTCACATCTCATCAGGAGCTCGGAGCCTATTATACATCCATTGGCAGGAAGGGAGGGAGGTGACCTAGCAGAAAGGGCAAGGCCTATCCAGAACTGGGTGCTTGCTCCTGCTCTCCAGCCTGGTTATGGAAGCATGCCCATTCCTGGTGATCCCCGAGGGCCAGGAGAGGGAGGGTGACCCCATCAGCCAAGGCGGGCAGCCTCGGCCACCCTGGGGCATGGGAACAGAGGCAGAGATGGAGAGGGGAGAGGGAGCCCAGGATAACCCCAGCGCTGACTCACCAGCTTTGTGACCCTGGCCTAGTCATTTGGCCTCTCCGGTGACTGCCTTGGAACAGGGCCCAGGATCATTCTGAGAGGTCCTTCCAGTTCAGGGCCCCTGGTCGCCCTTTTTCTCAAGATGGGCAAGGGGCTTGTGTTACATAATCCCAAAAGGCCCTGTTCTTCTTCCGTCATTTTGAAGTATGCCTCCAAAACAAATCCCAGAGCTGACCACTGTTCCTTGCTCACCCCACCACCACCCTGCTCAGCTGCCTCCTGGACTACTGCAGTCACCTGTCGCTGGCCTCCTGGCAGCTCCCTTCCCATATTCTGTTTCCCACTCAGCAGCCAGCGGGATCCTGTTAACATTTAAGTCAAATCCCATCCCTCCTCCGCGAAGAGCCCTCTTGTGGCTCTCCTTTATTTCAGAGTAAAAGGCAAAGTCCTCAACAGGACCTACAAAGCCCCGATCAAAAGATCCAAAAAGATCGGCTGGTCCCTTGCCAGTCCCATCAATCATCAACCATTCCTTTCACCCTCCGGACCTCCCTCTGCTCCAGCTGCCCTGCTCCACTTGCTCTCCTTCAAAACTCAGGCACTCTCTCACTCCAGAGGCTTTGCACTGACTGTTCCCTCTGCCCGAAGTCCTCTTCCCCCTGACAGCCCCAGGGCCTACCAGCACCTGCTCTTTGTTCCAAGTCACCTTCACCTTCACCTTCCGTTGAGCCCTCCCCTGACCACCTCCTCTAGATCCGAGTCCATGCCAGTGGCTGCCCCCCCACATCGAGTTTATTTTCCCCCCAGCGCTCTTATCAATTCCAAACATTATATTTATTTTTATTTACTTGTTTACCGTAAGCCCCATGAGGGTGGGGGCCTAGGCTATCTTGGTCACCCTCGCGTTCCCCAGCCCCAGCCAGCACACGGCTGGGCCAAGAGTGGATATAAATAAATTTCTGTTGAATGAATGAATAAATACCCTTCTCCTGTCCTGAGCCCCTGCCCCGGCCTGCCTAGTCAGCTCTCCAGCTAGTCTGCCCCGATTGTCCTTCGCTTGGGTTCTGAGTCTCCCTCCTCCCCAGTCCTGACTTGGAGAATGCTGTTTGTCCAGAAACTCACATGTGCCCTTCATGCCCTCACTTCCTTAGAAGACTAGGGGCTTGCCAAGGGCAAAAATGACCATGCTACCCCTCGGTGAATTTTTTCTCCCATCTTCTCCTTCAGTCCCCAAATTTTATCATTCCCCCCCCCCTTCTTGTCGTTACCTTCTGGAAGCCAAATGTTTGACTTAATTTACTTGTCTCCTCCTCCAGGAAGCCCTCCCTGACCCTCAGACTGGGTCAGAGGCCCTCTGGGTGCCCCTGTCTGAGCCTCACCCCCTCTGGGTCATCCCTTTCTGGGGGCAGGTCTGTCTCCCCCATGGGAGTGGGAGCACGTGACGGAGGGCCAGGATTGTCATTTGTCACCACTGTGTCACTAGCACCACCCAGCACAGTGCCCCTGAATTGTTCAACCAAGTTGTTATGGGGTCATGGTAGAGGCTGATTATTGGCCAGTGACCCACCAACCTCACTGTTTTCCCGTTTTCCTCTACTCTTATGAATACGAGCACAGCCCCATTTACATACAATTTGCATACAGCAGACCCGAAGGGAAGGGAGCTAAGACTGGAGGAGTGAGGGGTTTCTGCACGAGTTGGGGGTTCACTGGGCGGGTGGCAGCATCTTCAGCTGCACCTGGTCCCCCTGGGAGGGTGGAACCGCCGCCCAGCCAGCTGCCAAGGCCTTGGCCATGCTGTTCCTCTTGGAAGTGAGTGGGGTCTCCAGGGTGAGTGAGGCGTTGGCCATCTCCTGGGGCTTGTCACTGGCCAGGAAGCGGAGCAGGTTGTGCAAGGCCTTGGCCACATCACTGCGGGCCCCCTCATTGACGAGGCAGTAGAGGATGGGGTCAGCCACGCAGTTGAGGCTGGTGAAGGCCAGCGAGCTGTGGTAGGCCGAGAAGACACGCTCCTCAAAGCCACAGTCCCATGGGCGGCCCAGGTAGACGGCGCTGCGGGAGAGCAGGAGCACGTGGTAGGGCGCGAAGCAGACCAGCACGATGGCGATGAGGCTCAGGGCCAGCCGCTTGATCTTGGCCTTCTCCTGGCGCTCGGTGGACACGCTGCCCCGCACAGCCCGCAGGATGCCGCGGTAGGACAGCAGCATGAGGGCCCAGGGGAAGAGGAAGCCCACGAAAACCCGGTAGAGGTTCATCCAGGCCACCCAGCCCTCCATGGGGAACTTCTCGAAGCAAAAGGTATGGTTGTAGCGGTCGCGGAAGAGCTCGTCGTGGAACAGGGGCGCTGAGTTGGCCCCCAGCTCCGTGGCCCAGACCACAGAGCTCACAGCCACGGCTGTCTTGACCCGGCGCAGGCGCGCAAAGCGCAGTGGATGGGCCACCGCCAGGTAGCGGTCCACCGAGATGCAGCACAGGAAGGCGATGCTGATATAGATGTTGGTGTAGAAGATGAAGCCGAAGAGCTTGCAGGAGCCGGGGCCGTGGATCCAGTTGTCGTGGTGCAGGAAGTAGTCGACCCACAGCGGCAGCGTGCAGATGTACAGCAGGTCGGCGATGCTGAGGTTCATCAGGTATACCCCGAGCTCGTTGCGTTGCCGGACCTGGCGGTAGGCCGCCCACAGGGCCAGGCAGTTGGTGGGCAGCCCCACGCCGATGACAAAGATATAGAGGGACGGCGGGAAGAGGTGGTCCACACGCGAGTCCACGTGGCAGCCATCCCATGTGCGGTTGCCCATCCTCGGCGCTGGGGCTCCCGAGGCTCTTCCCCCGGCCCACGGGGGCTGTGGGGCCACGGGGGGCGGGAGGCCATCGGGCCCCCTGAGCCCCCTCCTTGGAGGCTCAGGGGAACATGGTGGGTGGCAGTCCACGGGGGAGAGATGAGGGTGACCGTGAATCCTGGACTGGCCTGGGCAGGGAAGGGGAGAGCTTGAGAGGGAAAAGTCAGGGGAAGGATAGAATTATGATCAGAGGGAGGCTTGGGGTGGGAGGGGGGATTAAAAAAAAAAAAGAGGTTTGTCAAGGGGGTGTTTACAGACCCAAACAGAGTGGAAAGGAGGGAGTTGAGGGGTAGCCCAAGAATTGGCCAAGGGGGGTGTTTATGGAAGAGATGGAGGCCTCATCGGGCAGTGGTAAGAGGGAGATATTGGTAGAGGATATAGAAAGTACACGTGGCCACGTTGAAGGGATGGGGGGTAGAATGTTCTAGAAGAGGCATGAAATATGTGCGATAGTGTTGAGATAGGACAGACTACAGTTAGGGAGGGTTGAAAACACCAGGCAGGGTCAGTTGGGTGCTGGTGCTCCCTAGGACCCCAGTAAGAAATAGGGAAACAAACAAGATTATGGAAAAGTAGGTGCCCTTAGTCCGGGAAATGTGGGAAGGGTGTTTAAGAAACAGGAAGGAGGTGAGTAAAGGCTATTATGGAGGAGGATTACGGATGGAGTGAGGAATTTGAAGGGGGCAGGGGAGGGGCTCTGGCTTGGCTTGGTCGTGGTGGGAGCTCACAGTTCAAAGCTGACTGTATGGTGCCTGTGGGGAGAGAGGTCTGCGATGAGGGGAGTCACGGACACCCCCTTCTCCCCCCACCCCTCACCATAACCCATGGGCTGCTGAGAGCAGGCATCCTAGCGATATCTAATTGAGCTTCGTTTTAAGCAACAGATCTCTGTAAATGCAGATTTGGGGGTCCGGATCTATTTTCCCTGATAGACATTAATAACCCCACTCAGATTTTATAATTTCCTTCCAGAAACTGTGTAAAACGCACAAGTATTGTATCACGCTTCGGCAAATGCTAACCTGTCATTTCCCAAACGGACATGAAGCCCAGAAAGACTGCTCACTCCCGCCAAGGATGCACAGCAAGGTCGTGATGGAACTAGGGCTGGAATCAGTCTTCTGCTGCTAACCCAGGACACCCCATCCTTGACAATGACAGAGACAGATAATAACAGCTAAAGCTTATTGAGCCCTACTACATCGCAGACCCTGTTCTAAGCACTTTTATGGGCATTAATACACTCAATTTTCAAGATCCCTACAACGGACATATCGTTATCATTCCTAATTGGCAAACTGAGGCATAGAGCCCTTCGGAGACCTGTCCAAGGTCCTGATGATGATGGAGGGATAATATCGGCTCTCGCCCCTTTTCTCCAGCCTGTGCATGTTTCCACCCAAGAATAACTGAACAGAAAGGGCCCTGGGCTGGGCAGTGGGGTCTGGGAACCATAGCTGCTTTGAGCTGGGGGTGGGGTGGGGAGAAAGGAGGTGCTACTGGAAGTGATCACATTCTAGCAGCAAGGGGAGCCCTGGCAGCAGGGCCAGCGTCTCTCCCTCAGGGTCTGCTTCCCTCATTGTCTCTGTCCCCAGCCAACTTTCCTGAGTGAGAACCCTCGGCCTGTCACCCCCTTGGGAAGACCTGCAAACACAGGGCAAAGGACAGTCATGGACCAAGATCCTGACCGTTGTCAGCCCAGAGGGTAGGGGAGTGAAGTCCTGAGTCAGAGCCACCTTTGTAAGTCACTCTATCCAGGTCTTTGCATGGGGTTAGTTTTTTAAGATGTGAAAGGTTTTATTATTATTATAACTATCCTTTTAAACAAGATCTTAAACTGGAAAGCCATCCAAGACAGTGGAAAAAAGAAGCTGCTCTATGTTCTCAATGAAATCAAGTGGGGGGCAGGGGATGCCACCTCTGAAGAAGCCCCCAGGACACACTTAGAAAACCACTGGTTGAGTCAACTGGATTTATCAGGAAACCAAGGCCCAGAGAGGTGAAGGGATGAGCCCAACATCATACACTGGGTTCTTGGGAACCTCCCAGATGCCAAAGCATCTTTCCATGGGAAAGTCCTCTTGGCTCTACCTCCACAATAAACCCTGAATCCATGCATATCTCTCAGAACCTCCTGCCACTGTCTGCTCTGCACCACCATCGCCGCTTGCTCGGACCTGTGCAGTAGCTCCTCACTGGTTTTCCTGGCTGCCATTCTGGCTTCCTTCAACTCACTTCCCACAGGGCAGCTGCCAAGGTCTTGTTAACATGAAAATGAGCTCTCATTACCTCTCTGCTGGAAATTGAAATCCTGAAATCCCCAAGTGCCTTCCCAGTAGACTGCTGATAATATCCAAACTCCTTGCCCCAGGGAATAAGGCACTGCCTCACTTTTCCTCCCCCCTCTCCTCCCCCACCTCAGCAGGCTCAAGACCCATGACCTTCTTGATTCAGCCTCAAAACCTTTGCTCTTTCTCGGATCTTCTTAGGACTCTGCTACCTGGCCTCCTTCACTCCCACAAGGGAGGCCCTCCCCATGCCCCAGAGTCCTGCCCACCCACCCCCAGGGCTGTCGCCTCACATCACCTTGTATCTTGTTCCCATCTGTCTGTCTGTCTGAAATGGACATTCCAGGAGGGCAGTAACCTTGTGTGGACTGCTGTCTCCCAGCACCCAGAAGAGGCCAAACATATAGTAGACACTCAGTAAATGACTGTGGGTAGAAGGAACAGGCATTGGTCAGCCCATCCTGCAAAGCAGGCTCCCTCTCCCTCTGAGGCAGCTACAAGTTCAAAGTAGTCCCAGGGAAAGAGGTCGGAAGGGAAATAAAATGAAAAGGGCAGGATCTATCCGCTACATAATTGACTTTGAAAGGTCAGGGCTGAGTCCCGCTTAGTAAACCCTACCCCCTGTGGGGTCCTTAGCAGTCCAGCGGCTGCCCCCACCCCAGACTCAGTGGTTCCTGGATCCTCTGGACAAAGGGTGGAGACAGCACAAGCTCCCAGGGCTGGAACAGGGCAATCCAGCTCCTCCCTTCGAATATTCTCCACCCAGACCAAGTCCACCCAAAAAACCCTCCTCTCTCGCCTTCTGTCTCTCCCTTTTCTTGTAACATCGAGAAACTTCATGCTTTTTCCAGAGTCTCAGTTTCCCTTTCTGTATAAAGGGGGAGGGAGCAAAACGTTTATACTATTCACGTCACAGACAAGAAAATCCTTGGTAGGATGGCATATCATCTGCAAAATGTGCAGCATTTGAACAATTACTATTATTCCACAGGCACAGGAGAGCTGAGACAAGAAAGGAACCCAGGCTGGGAGTTCCCTTTGCCCTGCACTGGCCAGACCCTCCTGGGTTCGGCTGAGCCTGGAGAGGGTACAGCACAGCAAGCATGAGACTTCTTTCCAGACGCCAGAGGAAATACGCTTCTCATGGCTAATTTCCTTGAGGGGGAACCAGCTGGGGGCTCACCTCCCCCTCCTCCTCCTTCCTCCTCAACCCACCTGCTTCCTGGGGCTTCTGGGCATGGGGGGGGCACTCAGCCCTCTCTTTTCTCCACCTAAGATCTGCCCACCATCAAACCATCAAAATCACAGAACCAGAACTAAGACTCAAAGCATTTCACAGTGCTATAGGTCTATACGCTCCAACTGGGAGTGTAAGGCTGTTTCTGACCCCTTCCTTGTACATGTGGGGAAACTGAGGCCCAGAGCAGCAAGACCGTTGTCTGAATCATGTGACGTGTCAGCGTCGGGCAGATCTCCTGTCCTTCTTGACCCAGGAGCTTCCCCTTTCCCCAAATGTTTTCTCGCCTCACTCCCTGTGCTCCTGTAATGTTTCTCAAGTCCTTCTGGGGTTATCAGCCGCCTTTGAGAACCTGCTGAAAGATACAAGGAAGGACTTTCTCCCCACCAAAAAGCAACGACCACAGTGTTTTTGTGCACCCCCAACACCTGACTCCCTTGCCCAGCCTGGGGCGGGCCGGGGCGGGGGTGGGAGCAAGCTCCTCTTTAGCTGGGATCTATGTTTCCTCCCTTACTTGAGGTTTATTGGAGATTGAACCCCCAAGTCTTTAACAAGAAGCTCCCCCTAGGGGCGCCTGGGTGGCTCAGTGGGTTAAAGCCTCTGCCTTTGGCTCAGGTCATGATCCCAGGGTCCTGGGATTGAGCCCCACATGGGGCTCTCTACTCAGCGGGGAGCCTGCTTCCCCCTCTCTCTCTGCCTGCCTCTCTGCCTACTTGTGACCTCTGTCTGTCAAATAAATAAATAAAATCTTAAAAAAAAAAAAGGAGCTCCTCCTAGCCCCCAGGCCCCCCTCTCTGGTCCCTGCTAGCCCCTCCCAGGGAAGGGAGGAGAGATAAGCCCAAGTGTGGAGTGATAGTGAGGGGACCGGAAGGACTGGTCAGACCCCAGCCCCCGCTTCGTCTCTTGGCTGCTCAAGCCAGATAAGACTCTGGGCCCCACCAGCCACCCCAAATCCAGTAAGGCTAAAGGACTCTGGAGGGCTGAGAGGACACGAGGGAAAGGTGATGCAGCGCCGCCCCCCCCCCCACCGCATCCCTGACCAACGTCAGGTTTCACTCACCAGCCTTGTCCTAGAAGCCACCGGACTGCCTCTTTGCCCCGCTTCCCTCCTCTGCCTGCTCTGCTTCCCGCCACCCCCTTGGCAGCCCCGGGGGACGGGCCAGCTCCGGTCTGCTCATTAGGGGACGAAATGTGATCACCGCGTCTCGCTCCCCACCTGGTGCCCTGGCGGCCGCCGGAAACCAGGGGGCAGTCAGGCCACCGTGACCACCTTGCTGGGCCTCAGTTTCCCCATTTCTACCAAAGTAGTCCCCATCTCCAACCCCCCCCCCACTGCCGCTCCCACACCACCCAGAGGGGACACCGGGGTCCTCCTCCTCTACCCCTCCGACATCATCCATTCCTGCACTCAGAAAATCCTCCGGATCTATTGTTAGTCCAGTTCACAGTTTACCGTTCTATTATTGCAACCTTCTAGAGCTTTACCTTTCTTCCATTCTATTATTATTATCCTAGCGGCTTTCCATGTCCTTACCCTTTAAGTTTCTAATATTCCAGGAGTCTCACATTCCAAGATCCTAAAGTTCTATTGTTAGAACGCTCTATGATTTTTTTTAAACATTTCTACGACTTTCATCATCTATTATTAAACTCTCAGTGATTATTATCTTGGCCCAGCAAACATGAATACGTATTTCCCTTCCTTTTTTTTTTTTTTTTACAGAAATGGGAACACACTCTATATACCGTGAAACCCCACTTCCTTTTTCCCTCCTTATCAATTCTGCTTGTTAACGAACGACCCAGCAGCCCGAAGGTCTAAAGTGGCACAGAATTCTAAAATACGGGAGATTCACGGGAGATTGGGAGTGGGGCAGTTGGGTTGGTTGTCACCACCACCTAGCTCCTAAATTCTCCCTGCCCTGGGGGGACTGCTAGGAGCCCTCACTGCCTCCATCCCGAGCCCTGCCGGCCTTCTCTCATCCCTCCAGCTCGCTCACACCAGCTGAGTTATTATTTGTCTAGACACAAACCAAATTATAGGCCCTGTCCCGAGGGAACAGTGGGCTTCATGGGGAGGGTCAGGAGACAGAAGCAGGCGGGAGTTAATCCCTGCCCCCCCATTTCCCTTCCCTTCTTCCCTCCTTCTCTGAAACTCCACCCCTCCCACCCAAACCAACTCTTGTCCCCTCTCCCCTCCCCAGCACCATGGCTTTGGAAATATTTTCTCTCCTCTGCTTCTCAAATGCTCCCCTCTGGATTCCAACCATTCATACTCACCCTGGCATTCTTCCCTCCTCACTGTGAAGACCTCTTTTCCCAAATTAATCCGACTTAGTGGCAGCAAAAGAAGCCAGCTCTCTGGATTTGGGCTTCAGTGGAACCGGAGTCCCAGCCCCCAGCCTGGCACGGACTCATTATGGGGACTTCTGCTCCCTGGCCTCAGTTTTCCCATCTGTAAAATGGGTGCCTGACGTCCATGGCTCCGTAAGCCCTTTGAGCTCTCTCTGCTTGGAACCCTGAAAGCTGCCCAAGATTCCAACACTAATCTTTTTGGATTGAAACATTCATATATCCTGAGGACTTGTGATCTGAAGATTGTGGGGCCCCAGGCCTGCCTCTGATCATTCTCCCATCCTGAGTCCTTCCATTCAAAGACTTCACGCTCAAGGGTTCTTGATTATGATTCCCAAAGCTGGGGAGCCGCCTATCATCTCTCTTATTTCCTCCTACTGGGACCCCCTCAGAAAAGGAAATCTCCCCATCCTCACCCCAAACCTGAAGCTGAGTTCATCTACAGAGAGAGATTGGGAGGTACCCTCCTGGTGGGTTCAGGAGGAGGGGAGCTGGTGGCGTGGCCCAGGCTTGGGGGCGCTAGGGGGTGGCCCCTATGAGCTCCATCTGTGTCAGTAAGTACCCCAGCGCACATCCTGCCTGAGTTAACACAACACATCCCACCACCAACAATGGCTCACAGAAATTCCAGAGCTGTCCTTCAGCCTTGTTGGGGGTGGTGGGATGTCCTGTGCAAGCAGGGGGTGGGGGGAGTGAGGTGGAGGCAGGAAGGAGTTAATGGTGACCTAGCCAAATCCTGGAAGGGAGGAAGTGGGGGAGGAAGTCCACCCCCCAGCCAGGAATTCCTGAAATCGGAGGGTGGGGTGGGTGCGACCTCAGGAGCAGTGGGGGGACTCTCTAAAGGGGGCGCTGGGGTCACAGTGTCCCTCAGAGTCCACCTGCCCCAAGCGGCAACCCTACACCCCACCCCCACCCTCCAGCAGCTCCTCAGCCCAGGGGAAAGCTCTGGGATGCACCAGAATTTGGAATGAGATGACGGTGGGGTCGAGGTGCCAGAACAGGGTCTCAGGAAACACAGAGTAAGAGACAGAGACACAGGAGAGAGACAGAGACACAGGAAGGGAAAGGGCAAAGAGATGCACAGAGACAGGGGAGAACCACGGAGTTGGGAGGCACAGAAATCCACGGGGACTGAGAGTTGGAGAGACTGAGGGATAGAGGCAAAGGGAGGCAGGGAGAAGGGCTACAGAAACGGAGAGAGAGACAGAGCCAGAGACGGAGAAGCAGAGAGAAAGAAAAAGACACAGAGACACCCAGAGATGCAGAAGGAGAGGCACACCCAAGAGGGAGAGAGGACCGCAGACAGAGACCCATCCGAGACGGGCGGAGAGAGGGAGACGGACCCAGAGACACTGTCCGCGCGGAGACGGCGGGAGCGCCCGAGAGGGGCGGGGACGGGCCGCGCGGCGCCGGAGACCGAGGCACAGACGCAGGGGCGCCCAGTCCCCGAGGGGCGCGCGGAGGAGGGGCCCCGCGGCGGCCGGACGCCCGGCGCGGGCAGGGGAAGGAGAGGCGCCTACCTGCGCGCGGCGGCTGGACGGGGCGGGCGGCGTCTCTCCGGGCTGCGGCGACGTCTGGGCTCGACCGCGGCGCAGGGACCCCGCGGCGACTCCTGTCGGCCCCGGGCCGGAGCCGCGGGCCGAAGCCCCGCCCCCGCCAGCCCCGCCCCCGTTAACCCCTCCCTTGTCACCGCCCCTTAACCCCTTTAGGCTTTCACCCCGCTCCAGGCTTCCAGCCCCGGGGTGGGGGTAAGAAGGGGGGAAACCTCACCTGCTGCCTCAGCATCCCCCTTTCCTAGCCCCTCCAAGGCCCCAGCCTGGAGGCCCCCATCTCCTTAACCCCTTTGCTTCCCCTCCGTCCAGCCCTACACCTCCTGCCTGACCCAGCCCTTTGCCTCTGACCCTCCTTGAACTGAGCCATTTCCTCCCCTCTGAGGCCCAAGTCCTTAACTCTGATGATTGTGTGCCTCCCTTCCCGAGGAAGAGTGAAAACGAGTCTGTCCTCACTGCTGGACTCAGGGCCACCTCTGTAAGGAGTCTGCCTCTTGGTCAACCAGACCTTAGCCTAATGGTCCTCTGTGCCTCAGTTTCCCGTCTGTCAAAGTGGTCACTCACAGTCTCTTTGTCAGGCGAATGTCATTTTAGTGTCAATTCTATCAAGTCTGTAAAACATGCCCCCCGCCAGTGCTTCCATTTCTCCATTTTCTTTACTTTTCCCCACAGAACTTTTTAAATTATCTGTCCCCCTCCGCTAGAGCAGGGAGGAGTCATGTCTGCATCTGGTTTGTTTACTGTTGTGTGTCTTTTGCCTGGAAGCCGGCTAGGCATGCGATAGGTATGCAAGACACATGTTCTCAGGGGGTGAATACATAAGGGTAAAACAGTATTTGCTGATTTTTATTATGATCATCACATCCTTCATAACTGGTCATGAGAATTCATTCTCGATCAGAGCACTTGGGACACACCTGGCATCATGCAGCACTCAGAAATGATAGCTATTGGGTTCACAAATTCTTTTTTTTTAGAGAGGGAGAGAGCACACACGAGCCAGGGAGTGGGGGGAGGGTGCAGAGGGAGAGGGAGAGAGAGAATCTCAAGTAGACGCCACACTGAACATGGAACCCAACATGGAGCTCGATCTCACCGCCCTGAGATCATGACCTGACTGAAATCAAGAGAGGGATTCTTAACGGCCTGAGCTACCCAGGCACCCCTGATCGCAAATTCTTTTTTCTTCCGTTCTTGTTGTTGTTGTTGTTAAGATCTCATTTATTTATTTGAGACACAGAGAGACCATGAGCCAGAGGAGGGGCAGAGGGCCAGGGACAAGCGGACTCCCTGCTGAGCTTGGAGCAGGAGCCCAACTCGATCCCAGGACCTGAGCTGAAGTCAGACGCTTAACTAACTGACCCACCCAGGCATCCCTTGTTCTTCATTTTTAATAAAAATTAAAAAGCCCGGATCTTAAGGAATAAGACAATGAATTGTGACAGATACACTTGTGTGCTTAAGTGCTCAAACCAAGACAGAACATTTCTAGCACCTAAGAACCTTGTTCTTTGCTCCTTTCCAGGCAATACTCACAGTCTATTTCACCCCCAGTGGCAACTTTCTTTTTACACCAGACATTAGTGTTGCCTGTTCTAGAACTTTTGCTGTGTGCCCTTGGACAAGTGACTTCACCTCTCTGAGCCCTATTACTTACTTCTCAGGGCTCTCGAGGGACACGGAAAGTTAGGGAGTTAACTAAGAGACCTGCAATGCACATGGGAATGAAGGCATTTTCCTTTCATATTCCCTCAAGGAGACAGGAAAAGAACTAAGGAAGGTATCCCGAAGGCTGTGGCCCCTCCCCATGTATAACCCCAGACTCATCCTATCAGCCTCAAGATAAGTCCCACAGAGCCCTCCTGTCAGAACCTTAGTCATTCCAAGCTCCTCTTAAGAAAAAATTCCAAGGGTCCTCTAGGAGGGGAGGATCCTCTTCTCTCTTAGGCTCACCCTAGGTTCTCTGAGGATCCAATCCTGGTAGGAAATAGGTAGCCATTCAGAGCTTAAGTGGGAGCACTTAATAAAGGGATATTTCAGAGGGGTGGGCAGGTGGAAGGAACCCACACAGTAGGAGGCAACACCAAGGGACTGGCCATGGGTAGAGCCAAGCCATTACCACGCTTAGGGCAGGAAGCTGGAATTTGGAGAGGAGCCCATAGTACCTGTAGCTCTAGGTAGAGAACAAAGCTACTGCCAGAACAGCAGGGATGCGGGGAGGGGGCCACCCAAATAAATACTCCCACTTTTCTCCTCCTACATTCCGATTTCCCATCAGTGCTTCTGTGGGCAGAAGCCAACTAGAACGTGAAGGGCAAGGGAGCCCCATGGATGGAGTCCACGCACGGCGGTCTCCCAAGGTCCAGAGCAGGGAGAGAAAGGCTCAAAGTGACTCTGGGGGTGACTCTGGGGGGCACATGGAGAGAATCGTCAGCGCTTCTTCCCTGCAGGGCTAAGACTGGGCACAAGGGGGCGACAGAGCACCAAGAGAACCAATGAAAAGGCTGCTTCGCCAGCACCGGCCGCCCCTCCAGAACTTGACAGTCGAGAGGGGTCGAAAGGTGGGGGACAGTAAAGTAGACTTTGAACCGAGAGCGGCAGAAACTGGCTTCTGAAACCTGGAGATCTGGAGGGGCGATATAATGGCTGAGCCCTGGTAGCTGAGTAGGAGTTCTGCAAGAGGACGCGTTCAGACGCGGCGGGGCGGGTGCCCAGGGAACCGCGTGTATGGAGGCTCCGAGGCACGAAATGTCACAGGGAAGGGCAAATACGGGTGATTCAAATGGCTGGAGATGAAAACTGGGGACAGGAGAAGATTCTGGCTGAAACAGCAAAGATGAAGAGAGGATTGGGAAAAAGGGGGGGGGGGGGGCTGCTGAACGCAATGAGCATTGACTGCATTCCAGGCAGTTCTAAGCACTTCCTGTGAATATCTCCCCCATGGGAGGTACCATTTCACAGATGAGAACAATGAGGCACAGATGCTGTCAAAAGGCAGCAGTTTTGGTAGCTGGGTTCCGATGCTTTAACCACGGTTATGCTGTTTCTCGGAGCGGGAAACAGGGTGGAGGAATTTGAACTTCGACCCCCTTCATATAAGACACAATTCTTTCACACACTTCAACACCCAGATAAAACTCAAATACTCATTCAGCAAACATTCCCTGATCCCCTGCTGCTGTGCTAGGCAGTGCTGGGGACACAGCAATGACCACGGCAGCCATGACCCCTCCCTCCCTGGGCTGGCAGCCAGTGCGGGGGTGACAGATGTATCCCTTATAGGGTCCCCTTAGGTCAAGGGGGATGCTGGAACCCAGAGGGGTTTTGTCACAGTTTGTTGGGCAAATAGGAGGAAGGAGGAAGGACAAAAGTCTTAGAATTTCCACACAAAACAACTCCCTTCATTTGGTTCATTTCTTACTCAACCTTCAGTGTTCAGTTCAGTTGTCCCCTCCAGGAAGCCCTCCCGGATGCCCCCTTAGTCTTCCTCTGCCTCCTCAAGGTCGAGCATGAGTCTGAGCATGGGTCTGCCTTCCCCACCGGACTGTGAGTACCTTGAGGGCAGGACGGGGCAGTCTCACTCAGCACTGTGTCCAACCATTGCCCAGCTCAAGGCACAACCTAGAATAAGCATGCTCCAAAAAATAAAAACCAGGGGCGCCTGGGTGGCTCAGTGGGTTAAAGCCTCTGCCTTCGGCTCAGGTCATGATCTCGGGTCCTGAGATCGAGCCCCACATCGGGCTCTCTGCTCAGTGGGGAGCCTGCTTCCTTCTCTCTCTCCCTCTCTGCCTGTCTCTCTGCCTACTTGTGATCTCTGTCTGTCAAATAAATAAATAATAAAATCGTTAAAAAACAAAAAATAAAAATTAAAAAAATAAAAACCAAATAAATTTTAAAAAGAATAAGTATGCTCCTTGCCCTATTAAAGAATTCATTAACTCATTCATCAACATATGTATCTGTCAAGCATTTACTGCCCGCTAGACACTGTGCTAGGCACTGGGGATACAATCTTCAAAAGCCAAAATCCTCACCCTTGTGAGCAATTGATTAGTGAATAACTGATTGACTTCTGGTCATATCAACTGAGATCTGATGAGAAGAAAAAACTCTCTAAAGGCCTGAGATATAAGGGAAGCCACTACTTTTTTTTTTTTTTAAGATTTTATTTATTTATTTGACAGAGAGAGACTCAGCAAGAGAGAAGGAACACAAGCAGGGGGAGTGGGAGAGGGAGAAGCAAACTCCCTGCCGAGCAGGGAGCCCAATGCGGGGCTCGATCCTAGGATCCCGGAATCATGACCTGAACCAAAGACAGATGCTTAGCCAACTGAGCCACCCAGGAGCTCCCCC